GTTGTGATCATCAACGTTCTAACTCTTCACACGTGCTGCTACTGAAATAGAGGTACGTAATTTTCGAAAACCCGCAAGTCTCTGTCCCAACATACATGTTCATCTGAGGCATGAGCCAGAGAGACTAGTCAGCGCTGACCAGTCTAATGGTGTAACTTTCTCTTACAAAAGATATACACGCACAGGTCGTTTGCACCCGGCTGGATCACATTTTTGGGGTTCACGGCCTGGATCTCCGGCGACGGACCTCTCGCCAGGCGCTGACTGCAAATATCATAACGGTGCTTGAGATAGTGAGTAGCCGGGATTTGAACCCGTGCGTGAAACTTTTGCCGCCAACCGTTAAACCATTTGTCCAGTCAGCGCTGACTGATCTCCTGGTGTAACCTGCTCATACAAAAGATATACGCGTTAACGGTTGGCGGCAAAAGTTTCACGCACGGGTTCGAATCCCGGCTACTCACTTTCCCAAGCACCATTATTTTCTTCTCGGTCAGCGCCTGGCGAGGGGTCCGGCCCCGGAGATCCCTGCTCTCAATAAGCTCTAAACCCAAGTGATCCAGCCGGGTGCTAAGGGTGCTAACGAGCTGAGCGTATATCTTTTGTAAGAGAAAGTTACACCATTATAGTATATCTTTTGTAAGAGAAAGTTACACCATTAGACTAGTCAGCGCGCTGACTAGTCTAATAATGGTGTAACTTTCTCTTACATATGCGGAGTTACATAGTCTAAATCCCGCAGAAGAGGGGAGAGATGAGAGGTAGAATATATACTGCTGCGTAGTTTAGCAGGAGCATCTGAAATCGGAAGAGAACGGATGGTTGGAAACAGACAGGGTTCAGGGTTGGTCCTGGATCAGATCCAGCTCATCAGATCGATCGAGTGAGCTGGATCGAGTTGTAGATCAGAACGGATTCTGGTTCTGGATCAGAACGGGTTCTAGACTACCAGCAAGATTTTTGCACACGTCGTACCGTCGCATAGATAGATGTAGGCTAGATCGATAGATGCCACACGTCAGATTCATGGATGCACGGGTTAACGAAATTGGGCAACGATTTAATGTCGGTCGAGTCAAGTTGGTCCTGTATGTTAGATATACTCGTATCACAGTAAAAGATGGTTGAATATGGGACATGGATCTACGGAGATTGCAATTGGTAGATTGCGGAGGAACAGGGAGTTTCTGAGTTTCTACTGGGTTTCTTCGGAGATTCGATGAGTGATCTGAATTACATGACGGATGGGTGTTGTGACTTTCTGTTCGGGTCCTCGGACACGAGTGTTCTCTGCTGTCCCCGCTCCCTAGTAATACAAGACTGTCTCATCTCGGCCCTCACTGGCCGAGCTGCCTTCTCCACCAACCTACAAGCTTCGGTCTACCCGGTTCACCCAACACGCTAGCGGATAACGACTTTGTCGAGGGTAATGGGGTAGCACCGATGGGCAGCCGCATGCGCGGCTGACGACACCCAACCAGACGAAGAGGCCACCAACGGCGAGGGCCTGCACGGCAGCAGCACCCCTAAGACCTACAGCAGCGCCATCGTCAGCTGCGCCCCGCCGTCTACTGTGGTTGTAGGCATGAACAGGCACGTGATGACTTGTCAGTTTTGGACTGCTGTCGTTAATCTATGTGTACACCCATGCGGTGATGCGGCGCACCTATACACAGTGCCGTCAGATCCTAAACGCGGCATTACGCCGTGCGGTACTGCCGTCANTAAGACCTACAGCAGCGCCATCGTCAGCTGCGCCCCGCCGTCTACTGTGGTTGTAGGCATGAACAGGCACGTGATGACTTGTCAGTTTTGGACTGCTGTCGTTAATCTATGTGTACACCCATGCGGTGATGCGGCGCACCTATACACAGTGCCGTCAGATCCTAAACGCGGCATTACGCCGTGCGGTACTGCCGTCAGACGCCAACGCTTACTCTAACTCCACTTCCATCCGGCACTGCCGTCAAACTCTCTTTCCTACTCTTTATCTAGTATAATCGCGGCAACACGCTGCACGGTAATGCCGTCAAACGCCAACGCTTTCTCAATCAAAACGCGATAATACGTCGTGCGGTGCTGCCGCCAAACTCCACCGCTCGGTCAAAGGTCGACTACCCGTAGTAAATGGGTAGACCAAATCTAGGTTACCAGTAATCCACAAAACTGATGGCAGTTTCGAAACTGATGATACGATGTGTGTGTGTAGCATGGTACTAGTGATAGCATTGTGCGTAATGTAATGCAGTGATTGGCGAGGTTTTGTGCTTTGTCTTCCTGACAGCCGTGCTGAGACCAACTTTCTCTCCCCGGCAACAGCGTGATCAATGTTTTATCTGGGCTCGTTTTGGTGGCTACTTTTTGAGCAGCAGGTTTAGCCTGATCAAAAATGCGTGATCAAGGTTTTATCTAGACTCTCTTTGGGTAGCAGGTTTAACCTGATCAAAAACTTTTCATGTCTTGGTTGTGTCAGGGAGTACCAAAGACGTGTGAAGTCTCAGCGACGTGCCAGCATTGATTGGTACCTCCACCGTCCCTGTTGCAGATTAAAAATCCACAATATTCACGAAATAAATTCTGATTTCCGCACACGAATACTGTCATACGTTGTCTTGAGGTTGCTATTTGTTGTGAGATTGCGGCTCCAAGTTGTTAAGGTTTTGATTTAGGATTGATTACCCTATGGTTGAAACAGGAGCAGCGGCTGTATTATTATTCTGTTGTTGAGGACTCATCAACCTCCGTTTCAGGATGACATTCAGCCATCTATTCATTGAGTGGCAATGTCGCAGTGATCGGTAGTTTCAGACAAACCATTCCACAAGAGGGCTCTGAGGACTTGAAAGTGTGTTTCATTTGTTGCTTTTTCTGATGCAGTCACTACTGTGCAGAACCGGGGGGAATGTTGGTAGTATGTGATTCTCCTCAGAAGTGCTGGTTTGTTCGGAACGAATCTGCCGCCATCTCCCCCTCCAAACGCGCGACCTGCCCTTCACCACCGCCGAGTCAATCCTCCGGGAGCGACAATTGCTCTTCCCCCACTTCAGGCGGACGCAAACATCCAAGCTCGAGTCGCGGCCAGCCAGAAAAGATGAAAGGCGGAAGGCGACCGCGGCGAAGGCGCGCGAAATATCCGCTGGGGGGGGGAGAAACAATGGCTTGGGCAATGGGTTAAGCGCTGGAACTTGATGCGCGCAAATGTAGGGTTTCGAGTGTCACTGTTTTGGTATTGAATTGGAGGATTTTCGAATGTTTTCTTTTGGTGCATTGGATTGGATTATATGTTGGATTAGGTTTTGGCTTTGGTATTGGATTGTTCTAGCATTAGGATTTGCGAGCGTTGTTTTGGCATCGGATTTGATTTGGTTTTCGTGTTTCGTCGGCATTTATTTGCAGGAGGATTGTTTTTCTTGGGTTTCGACTGTCCGAATATTGAATGTTGTTCTTTTGGTCTGTGGTTCAGATCTCCGACCCCTTCTTAAATATGGGGGGCGGATCTCCCAGAGAAGGGGGGCACGTTGTTCTTTCGGAAGGAATTCACTGTAGCTTGTGCTAAGTTTCTAGAGAGAAGCAACAGGAACAATGCTCGCGTATTTTCTGCGCAAATGATCTTCACGTTGGACGAATGTGTGGGGATGGATGTTGTTTGATCGGAATTGCGAGAGTAGAGATATCATGTCATGCTCAGCTGCGTTCAACCTGCGAAGTGGGCATCCGCGAAACATGAAACATACACAAACGTTTTTTCCTTTTGCGAAATTTGTGTTTTCTTGGTAGTTTTGGTAGACGGATGGATGTTGTCGTTGTTGTTGTTGTTGTCCTCACATTAAAAACCGTTCCGATCTCTCTCTACCCAGTACCTTCGTATGTCCGTACTGATACAACACTCGACGCGGTCGATTCCCGGTCGCAGGCTTACTTACCCTATAAGGTACACGCAAATATTATGGCCCCGAGGGGTCCGCAAGTCAATAGAAATCAACGACAGATATTCTGGAGTCCTCCACTCCCTCTGCGCGCTATGCGAGGTAACAACTGAAACTAGGATTCACCATCACCGGTCGGAGAGAAAGAGGTACACCGCCTTGGTTCAATCTTGGTACTTCACAACGCAAGCAGAGACAAGGCCATCTGGCACAGAAAAAGGAAAAAAGGAAACAGTAAGGAAAGAGAAAGTGAAACAAACAGAGCGAGGACAAAAAGGGACCAGGCCGAAAATAACAACAAATAAGAGACAGAAAAAGGCGCACGCTGGAGGTACCACTAACAAGTGGCCACCAACCAGCGATGCATTGTCATGGTACGTCATCACTTGTGGCGGGTTGGTGCAATGGTGCAGCGTTGTGTGGGGGGAATCTGCCAAAAGAAATTCAATCCGGCACGTATCGCTCCACCCGGTCCGTCTCTTCTCGTTTGCTTTCTTCCCTCACCGTCTCGTCCGTCTCCTGCCCCCTCCCGCCCCATTGGTTGGTGGCTTGTGGTTTCGTTGAGCGCCCGTTGTCGGCTGGCCTCTTCTTCCTTCTCGTGCCAGGAGGTCTTGAACCTCTCAGCTCCCTGCAGCACCGCCGCATGCCAAGGTACTCCCCCCTCCACCTTCGCGGCTTCCGTCCACTTCACTTCGGTGCCGTGTCTTTCGGTACCGGGATTCCGAGACAACATGGATCGGTTTTCGTAGATCCGTGGTCGGCCCCGAATGCCTTCAGGTCGTCGAGCACGTACTTCGCCCAGTTCTGTTCCTGTTCTCCCCTGCGTCGCTTCTCCTCCCTGCCAGTTCGCCGAACATCAGTCGCTTCGGGAGTCGCCCGTCCGGCTGCCTTGCCAATGTTCCCGCGAACAGTAGGCGTCGTTGTCGGATATTGGCTTCAGCGCTCTGGCATTCGACCCTCTTCAGCGTCTGGGCGTAAGAGAGCTGCCGGTAGGTGTCTTTCCTGCGCTTGTACCCGATAACTCGGAGGAGCAGTCGGTGGTGTATCGACCGCAGCGTCTGATAGTGGCCACTGAGTGGTGACCATGTCATACAGCGGTACAGCAGTGCCTCCCTCGCCTCCGCCTGGAGCAGGCGGATCTTGAGTCAGAATGGCGTTTGCGGTCTGTCCAAGATCTCCCGGCCATATCTCCTGAGGCACGCCCACGCTCCTCTGCTCCTGTAGTTGATCTCCCGGGTGAGGTGGCCTTGTTCGTTGACGAGGCCACCGAGGTACCGGAACTCGGTCGTCTGGGCGTATTTCTGTCCCGCGGCTTCGATGGTCAGTGGTGGAGGCGGGGCGGGCTGTGATGTTGTAGTCGAAATGTCCTTTGCGGGCATCAGGAGCGTCTCCGTCTTCTTCTCCGACACCCTTAGCTCGAACTCCCCGGACACCACAACGATGATGGTCATCATTCTCGCCAGTCCTTCTGCAGACCTCGATACGACGCCGGCATCATCGGCATACAGCATCCCCCATACTGCCCTCCGTACTCGGTCAAGGGGTGTCTCCTCCCCCCCCCCCGCTTCCGTCTTCCCCTCCTCCAAGCACACCAGGCTCCGCAGAACAACATCATCCTCGCTGAATCGGATGACAACGACCTCGAGGACCTCGGCGAAGAAGATGTTGAACAGCAGTGGGGATAGCACACATCCTTGTCGCTCGCCCTGTGTCACGAAGAACCAGTCCGATAGTTCTCCGTCGTCCATGCGCACCCTGGCTCGCATTCCATCGTGGAATTGGCGGATGACTTCGATCAGCTTCGCGGAAATCCCGGCCCTGGCCAGCACCTTCCATAGCATCTCTCGGTCCACCGAATCATACGCCTTGTTCAAGTCGACGAAGCACATGTAGAGCGGTATTTTCTTTCTCCGCCCCAGCTCCTGGAGGCGGCGCACGACGAACAGCATGTCGACGGTGGATCGCCCGGGTCGAAATCCGCACTGTTCCTCCGGGAGGATGTTGTTGGCTTCGCAGAAGGCGCTTAGACGGTTGGTGATGATCATGATGGGGACCTTGCCTACGTGAGATAGTAGCGAAATCCCCCCATAGTTGTTACAGTTGGACCGGTCACCCTTGTACAGGACCTTGATGGTTGCATCCTTCCACTCTCGCAGAATATCTCCTCCGTTCCACACCTTGATGGTATGGAGGTGTCCCAGGACGAAGGGCTCGTCGTCATCGATCTTGAGCAACTCGGCAGGGAGGGAGTCATGGCCGGGTGCCTTCCAGTTCTTGAGGTCTTTCGTTGCCCGTGCCACCTCCTCGAGTTCTGGCACATCTCCCAACCGTTGAGTGTCACGTGTCGCTGGCCGCTGCGTCACTCGTTCGATGATGTCTGGGTTCAGGGTGGGGGATTTGGTGTTGAGTAGGGTGCTGAAGAATCTCGCCCACCGCTGGAGGATGTCGTCCCTGTTCCGGAGCAACACGCCGTTCTCATCCGCGACGAACTGCTGTCCTGCCGCTTGTCTCCCGCTGAGGCCCACTGATCTCTTGAGGTATTGGCACAGCCCTCGCATGTCGCGATATTTATAGATTTCTTCGAGCTCAGTCACATATCCGTCCAGGTGGGCATAAATGCCCGTTTCGACTGCTGTAGCCACTCCCTTACACGCAACTTTGA